CGTCTGCACACCTGATTGGCGCATTTTGTGCGGTGTGTTCTTGTACTTCACCTTGAGAAGCAGTTGTCCGACTCCGGTTAAGGGTGCTCATCACCGCATTCAGTAAATTGAAAAAAAAAATAAATCGCGGGTTATCGTGCCAGCACCACGTGACACGTAATCCGCCCCAGAAAACAGAGTAACTTTTGAAAAATTTACACTCGATTTTATCCCCACGGTATTCTTCGTAAAGTCATTACCGCGCTCAAAAAAATACAACCCGCAACACCATTGGAACTGTGCATTTTTCTGCAGCCTGAAAATTTCTGGTCGCATTTTTTTGATGCAAACGACCTTTAACCCTTCCTCATTGAGTTATTCGGGGTTCGGATCTGAATCAAACTTGCACTAATTTTAATTTGCAAAGCGATTTGACAAATGGTCGGGTGCATTAGAAAGCGAAAAAGCAATTTGTTAAGTTGACTTAAATTTGGCCGAAAAATTGACCTCAAAAATGGCCCGCGTGCAGCCGCCATTTTGGCAATGTTTTGGCGCATTTTCGTTGTGGCAGGAGAAAAAAACAGTAGTGGCGATTTTGTGGAAAAAAGTGAAAAAAAATGCGCTAGAAGAGGTCGAGTACGATCGCGGTATGTCAAGTCGATTTAGAACATTTTTAGGCTAAAGAATGTGAGTGGAACCGGTTAAATTCTGAAATCTGCTCTCACCTCAGCCTTCAAACTAACCACAACTGATCTTGCCAGGGTAGGTATCTACCGATAAGATTGTTTACAAAGCCCTAATCTTGCCTACCCATTTGGCTGAGACGGTAAACGCTTTTACTAATAAGGTTATCACTCTGCACTTGGAGGGTGGGAAATTTGCATTCTCAAATCGTGAGGAATGGTATGTCTGCATTTTACTTGGGTCTTGTTGTTGGCAGATGAATAAGTTCTCCACTGCACGCCTGATTTTGAGCAGTTAACAGAGCTTAGAGGTAAGTTGAGAGGGAAAGAGAGGATGATTCCGTTTTCAGAAGTCGGTAGGGGCTGAGTTAGACGCTTGTCCGTGGACGCTGACCCTGGACAAAGAAGAACGCATCGTCAAGAAATATTGATGCTCCTAGCCTCTTTGTGGACATGCTGTCGATCTAGATGACTTTGACGATGGACGCTCTAGTTCTTAGTGTTCCACAACGCATTTATCTTCCTTTTGTCTACTCTTCTTGTCCCAGAACGCTTAGACGAGTCGCACACTTACGCAGGGATCTTTGGGATTTCGAAAAAGTTGAAACGACGAGTAGATCTCACGTGGTTATGTGGGAATGATCGCGAAATGGTCCACGTTATTCCAGATATTTTTCCGATATCTTGCCTGTGCCTTAGCGGTCTAGGACCATTGAAGGCAAAAACGCTTCATTATTTCATTTGACTAAAAAGGGACGCCTTGACCGCTGTGTCCGTGGAGGGGTCTTGGATGGCGAAAAAAAGCTTACCCCTGGGTAAAACCGTCGTGATCACCTTAGTTCTACATTAGTTACTTCTCGCTAAACGCAGATCATAGGGATGCTGCAAACAGGGTTGAAGTGTCGGCAATCCAAGTGTCTTAAACCACAACGGAAACTGACAAAAACAAGTGCAGGTGCTTAGTCATGTATAGACAGAAAGTACACGTGTTTGAGTTTGTTTACAACGGGCTTGTGGACAAAGACGAGTGGAAGGTTTTGGCAAGTAACGGACACCAATCAGCTTGCGGCAAGCCTGCGCCAACACGTTTTAGCTTGCACGCGTCTGCTCATTGTCCCCTACACCCTGATGTCGTAGATGTCACCTATGATTGGTAGAATAAGATTCCCTCCTTGGATTGGCAATTATCAGCGGTTTGTGATCTGTGATGGTAGACCGCAGAGGTGGCAGGTAGAAGCCCGTTATCGAATGTGGTCACTACATTTTCTTGCCCCGAGATATTTTGCCTCAGTTCGCAATGGTGGCGTCGTCCATGTATTAAAACAAATAACCAATTCAGCTAGCGCATTCCAAAGACGGTTTGATAGGCGTGGGCTTGGGGCAACAGTTAGCTGATATTTTGTGTGCGACCGTTTAGGAGGGTTGAGTTGACGCAGTTACGATGTCCTTTCAGCTGATATCTAAAAGGACTGCGGAAGTTCAATGTGGTGAATACTTGGAGCGCGATCGCAGTAGGGAACTCTGGCGAAAATGTCATTGGGCAAATCACCATCAAGTTTGCGAAAATCCAGCGTATTCCACTGTTTGGTTGAGTGAACGAACGTGAAACAGCAGAGAAGTCAGCGTTGGACTCGAACAGAATTTCACATGACAAGTTTACAGGATTGGTTGAGGGAATGAATGTTGACAAGTCTAGTGCGTTTTTCCTTTCTGAACCAACTCGGACACACTTTGAAACTTCATACGTAGCAGGTTGAAAAACGCTAACAGCGGATTGCATTTGTGTCCCTAACCCGAGTAAAAGGTTCAACTGCTTTATCGACTACCCAAAACATTCAATATCCATGCCTGTAGGATCTGGAATACAGACTCCAAAATTGTCGACATGACCGCAGTTTCGATTAGAACATTGCAGAATTTAATTCCACAATCTAGAAACCTCAATTTAGCTGTTAAAGCCTGAACTAATAGAGTGGACACTTCGATCCTGGGTGTGTTGCATCTATAGTAAGACCTGACGAAGTAATAGGGCCTGATAAAGCTTGTTCACCGAATTGGATAGACATTTTACCTCAAGTTTACCAGAGCATGGAAATCCAATCTTTCAGGGAACACTGGATGAGGCCCAGTCTGCGAGGTAATGGAATTCGGACGCCGTGTCTGCGAAATTCCAACTTGTATTAATAAACTTTCGTTCGCAAGGTCGATTTGTCCGTTTTTTGTGCACGGAGCCTGCTAAATCAGACAGACACGAGGGAAAATAGAACTACCGGGTTAGGTGTGCCCACTGTCAAAATTAGCCTTGACTGAACAGAAAGATTGCGAGCTGAGTTAATTAATTATAACTGCTATGCCGATGGTCTGAGGGGGAGAGGGTTTCTTTTGGTTAAAAGATTGTGAAACGTCCTCGAATTATTCAACTGAGGATTTGTTGATTGGGTATCCCCTAATAGCAAGTAATTCCAGATATTACTGGAGAAGCTTTGGTAAATTTACTAAGAAAAAAGTAAAATTTGACGGACATTGTTGCAGCAGGCTACCTAAGAAGGCATAGGTAGCTGAAGCTACCAACTCAGTTGCCTTCTGGACACGTTGCCTAGCAACCGAGATCCATTTCCAGTTGACATTCAAGTTCTGTGATGTCTACGCTTCACTATCATTCCTGGCGGTATCCATCTGAGGGTCTTCGTGTAGCTGATTGGTGGGGATTTTTCCAATGCCACTACAGCGTGCGATTAAATGAAATTCCCGAGGATTCTGGCTGTCTATTTTAAGCGATGTGGATTTGCTGTAAACACAAAATATATCATGGAGACACCAGTGAAGGTCAAAATTTTCATCGTACAGCAAACTTCCTTCAGACAAATCAACAATTTGCCAGTGGATATGACAGCCACTAATGCGGTTGCACCGTTGATGGTTCAAAGTACGAGAACAATCTCTGGCCTTGTGAACACCAAAATATCCGAACAAAAATAGAATCCTTTTTTTCATGGAGAAAACAGAATTGGCAGGAAATTAGTGTCTGAAGAAAGGTCATTTAACTTAGGAATTGTTTTGCCTTTGATCTGGACAGTCCTTTTGTGGATGAATGAACAGAGAAGCTGTTGTGGATTCTCGACCAGACACCGCAGGCGACGTTTTTTGAACGTGGCAAAAACGTTGCAGTCGAGAATGTTTTTGGAAATAAATTGACTGGACATGTCGGTTGACACGAAGTCTGATGTCAGTCGAGCTTAAATTAATAACAGTAGGTGATTGCACTTAAGTCCCAAATTATTTACAACACAATGATAAAATATAAACTTTTGAAATCAATAATGTGACTCCCAGTATTTCCTATAACTGGACCCCTTTTGGAAACTGCGTGAATTCTCTCGTAAGGAAGTCATCATGCAGATTTCGGCACCCACATTTTGAAAGAACAAAGCACATGGCGATACGGTGAGCTGTGCTTGAGGACTGTCAACTTTTAACTCTCTAAGCTGTTTCGTAGTGTCTATTAAGCGACATGTGGTCTGTCGTTGTCATGGTGAAAGATGAAGCGTTTCTGAGCGACGGAATTTCGACATTTAGCTTGGATTTCAACTATGGGGTGACTGGTTTCCTCACGGATCTTCTCAGTTATGGATTGGTCATGTAGCAGAAGTTTGCAACACCACTATTCTTCTGCAATGCTTCCATGAAGACACTTAAAAAGGCTTTGACCGTCCCTTGAAATGGAAGCTGCTTCCAGCTTCTTTCATCGCATCATCCTCAGGTGTGAATTGATCAAAGAAGAGTTAGGTTTGTTGAGAAGTGAGGCGACAAGTGGCTGTGAAAACACTTAGCACCAATCAAAACTCCTAAATTGACTAAGCCACACTTTAACAGCCGTACGAGCATGAAAGCAATCCAAACAGACGTTTAGGATACTCAGTGTTGCTGTGGTAATGATCATACCTTTTCTACACTCCTTTAACAACACGACAAAACGCTAACCTCTCGTTTTCCGTTTCGTCTGTCAAACTGGTATGCAAAATAAGATTTAAAGATTGTTTTCGATTTAGTAGTTGTCATTTTATACTATGAATATAAATAAATATTATATGTATCTTACCGTCCTATGGGAAAATCGTTCAGTCACCCAATAGTAAATCATCCTGAGGGACGTCACGAGAATGATATAGCATCATTTTTTGGGTAAAACCGCTGACCGATATTGGCATCTTGTCAATTACACTTCCTCTTTTTTGATTTTCACTTTGAAACTGGCAATTTGTGTGGTCATTCGAGGTCGTTTCGATAACTTAATCTGAGAAGAATTTAAATTCTGACAGAGTTACACAACTGTTCGTTTTACGTCTTATTTGGAGCCGCCTTAAACACGGAAATTCAATCTGAAGTCAAGCGTAAAACAAAAAAAAACGAGTTTGAGTGATCATGTATCGTTCTGGAGAAGTCTTAGCTATGTCGACGCGGTCGTGTCTGAGAATCTAAGGTTAAATTGTCCAATTTTGGTCCAAAGAGCGCGTTGCGGTGCTTTTCAAACAACTCGAACTCGTCATTTTTTACTGAGGTTGTAAATTTATTCATTTACTCACGAAAAAGAGGTTGCAACATTAACACAAACAATTCCGGTCGCTTAAAGGCTCCATTTTGCTTGAAATACCCACCATTTGAATGAGAAAAACACCGCATTTGGATAAAAATAAAACTGATGTGACAATAAAAGAAGCTTTACCAGATGCAGCTCCTGGCGATTCATGTTTGACTCTTCAGCCGACGCCTTCACGGCTGCCTCATATTCAAGGGCGACTCGTTCGTACTCCCTAATGGACAGCGTCACCTTTCGGCCAAGGAGGACCTCGTAGTTTTTCATGTTAGCCACAATCTGCGGTAACGCCGAAACCAGCAGAACCTTGGTTATGCACGTGTCCATCACGAGCATAGCTCTCTTGCCCTCAATCGTTTGAATGTGCTTTTGAACTGGTTTGAGCAGGACTGCATGCTGCGTCTGTTCTAGTTCGCTTTTCTCCTGACGAGAAAAGGAGCCGGTGGTCACGAGGTTCGCGGAACCGCTGATTGTGGGAAGACGGTCCCACACGGCCACTGAGTACTCAGAAGCCATTTCGAGTCGGCCTCTTTCGGAAAAGCGTAACTTCACTCGCGGTCAGCTGATTTCACCAGTTCAAAGTACTTAGCCAATCAATAAGTACGCTTGGTTGGGAGAACAGCCTACCATGCGATTCTGACCATACTCGGCGACTTTAATTCCCTGTAATTTGGAGACAACACGTAAAGTGAATGTCAAGTGGCGTCACAGCTACCGGTTTAATTAAAAAAAAGGTTACTACATTTTCAACAATCGAACACTTCTTAGCCGGGTTCATTACTACTCACAGGGTCTCATGGGATTTCAGCGGGAGTGCACAAGGAAGTCCACACTTAGTGTCGACGTTTGGAAATCGGCTTTCGATGGTCTTGCAAACCTCGGAAGCATAGGTTGGATTGCGGCTATTAAACTCAAGGCCGAGTCAATGGAATAAGTTTGCTTATTTTCAACACTAACAGACCAGGCTTCCCGTATTAGCGGTGACGTTTTTGATTTAAATCCACTTAGAGACAAAATCACGCCCCGGACTTGGCATAATTTATGGGTTGGTTAAAATGACAATCAAGGTGCGTAGGCATTGACTGCAGTCAGATTTTCACGATTGAATGTGTGGTTTCTGCTGCAGCACCGGTCTTCTGTAACGTGAGTTTTTCACCAACCAAGGCGGTAGTTCCGAGGTCGGGAAAAATCGGGCGTGCGCACCTGTTGAAATTGTCGAATCTCAATGCAAAAATCAGGAGTCTCTGTGCACGCCTTCTTACGAAATCATGTCCATGAAAGTGAGCAGTTAGTGAAGATCCACTTGGTTGAAGTTGAAAGACTGACTTACAGGTGACTCAAAGCCTTACCTAAAAGATGTGGTAGTTCTTTATGGTTTTAACGTCGTCTAGTCCACTCACGTTGCTTGCAACTGAGGCAACTGATGGTGAGAGATGAACTTGGGTTGATGTGGAAGATGCCCAGTTGCTATTCTAGTTCATGTGAATGGCTGAATGGACGACGTTTCATGATCTGACCAGGATCTGTTGTTTCTCGGCGATTCAGTCTGCCAACTTTTGTTCGCCTCTACCAATCCATTTCCACAATGTTGGGTTCCTGAGATTCGTTCAGGCAAATCCCATGTGAACAAGCTCTCTAGCGAAGACGCTTTTTTTCGCCCAAGAAAGAAATGTGAAGGTAGGATAGAGATTTGTGAGTTGACTGTGTGTTTGTGTGTCTTCACTGTGCCCCACTAATGGAGGTTGTTGATCAAGACGGTTTGGATGCATTTGGAAAAACCTGAATGGAATGAGTAGCGGAGGGGGAGGTGTTTGGACAGAGGATACTTCATGATTAATGGGGATGCCGTGAATACGGTATGACAGTGGGTCTGAGTATTCGGCGGTTGGTAAATAAACGTGACCGACCACGATATGCCGAAATTTTTTCCAAGGATTCTTGCTAAATTTTTGCTTTCAGCGTCTCCTTACGAAACATTAGTATCGGTTGGCCCTAGCCTTGGTGTTAACTAGATCAGGTTTTAGCACTGAATATCCACGCCGTCAAGTTATGCAGCCAAGTAGGGCGCAAACGATTTCTGTAGGAGATAAGTGAAATTTCAAGACTCCAATGAAAGCTACCACATTTGGAAGCTAGAATGGGTTAAAACGCCTTCAGTTTAAACGATGTACAAGTGAGCCCGAACTGTTTTGTTCAGAACTATAACGTTAGGCTCTGTTAGGAGCGAATGACGATTAGTCGCCCATGTCTACAACCTGTTTGATGCTATCTGCTAAATGGTATCTGAATACAAGAAGCATGGCTTTAATCAGGATTATGCTGCCAAAAAGCACACAAATTCGTTGAAATAAAGACATTTCACAATCACATGTATTAAGATGATAAAGTTCAAATTGAGAGTGGAGGACGATCTCCCCAGGTTGCGTGGGTGTTTGAAGTCAACAAGAGATTCAGTTAATTCACCATGAAGACCTCGCAGAGCCATCGAATTTTGTTGTGAAACTACATCAAGACATGACGTGGTTGAAGCGCCGGGGTCAGTGGGAGCAATCAAGCATCACTGAAACTCGCTGACTTCCCAGATAAACATACGAAACTGATATTTGGGTGCGTGGTTGGGTGTCAGACACCGATGACGCCCCGCAATTTCACACAATCCTGATCACAGCATTTTCCAAAGCCCGTGGACGTTGTGTTAGTAATGCGGTACCGGTATTTATTGGTTCGAGGCATCTAACAGAGTTTGAGGGCGAAGAACCTACTAAACATTAATTGATTACATTTTTACACAGTCCAAGTCAAAACTAGCGCCAAATGATTACGACTCGCTTTGAAATCACCATAGCTCCTCCCAGCTGATATTGTCAAGACCTCATGAATCAATATTCGTATTAGCCTTGCTAAGATGACTGATTTACGATTAAACGTCGCCTGGTAGACGACGAGATGGGTCACTCAAACGCAACTGACAAACACGACGCGTTTCTGATGGAATCCTTGGGCTGCGTTGGCAGGTTCTATTGCTCACAAGTGTAAGTCTTTTTCACGGATTAAGAGGATAGCACATCGTCTGGATGATCTTCGACTTACTGATGAGGTGCTGCAAGATGGAAAACTCGTCTAACACGTTGCATCGTCCAACATAATCACAACGCTTATGCTAGAGCTTCTTTATTGGCTGACAATCAGTTAGTTTTGTCCACCAGTACCTGGAAAGCCATTATTTCGATTGTACATGCTTTTTAACGCATGAAGTTTCCTAATACCCAAGAATTTAAGAAATAACGACAAGTTGTACTATGCGAGTTGTAACTAGGAGAGACTGCCTGCGTTTTAAGCGACCCAGATACAATCAGAATCACTAAATGGTGTCACATGTGTGTGGCGAACGATGGCTCAGATCCGGAGCATGTTTGAAAGGTTCGCTAAGTTTTAATAATGTTTGGGAAACCCTGCATTACGTCAACTCTTGGTCAGAACTACTGTTCGTACGACCAAATGCTTCCCCGTGTCTTTGTTGATGTGCCGACCCCTTCAACGAATCGTCATATTCATCAACAGAACCCTCAGTTGTGGCTTAGTCTCCAGGCCAGGAAGGCGTCCACACGTCCACGGTTGGTCGATGACTTACTTTGACTAGATCGATACGACCGGCGCGAATGCAAGTCGAGCTTTAAAATGACACTTGGAGAATCCAAAAGGTGGGTCCAGTACTACGCTGACTGCACAAGGTTCTCTAGAGGTAACGCTAAATAACTCGCAAAAGTGTGTGCGTATGTAATGGAGCAACTTGACCTGATAGAAGTAAACACCATCAGCTTGTGGGGCACTGCGATGTGAAAGCACAGACAAGACGAGAAAAAGCGTTTGACAAACCAATACGTAATTTCCCTTCGGTAAAGCAAGAAAGCACCTAAGAGGAACCCACCGCTGCGTTGAAAGGGTTCTAGCTGCTTCAGTATTTTGGTAGTTATTACCAAAGGCCACCAAATGCTATCGACAATTGCCGAAGTTTGGCCATTCAGCAAGTTCTGCAGACTAAAATTGACCACATCTGGACTGTAATGGAAGAGTGCATCAAGATCTAATAAGCTCCCACGTGCTACAAAGTGTTTAAGAAGCCTTGAATCATTTCCGTGGAACACGGACATCATCCACTTCCATGGGAGGAGTTTAAAATTTCAACAAAGACTGTATTTCCACCACATTGACAGATTTACCAGTCTGGGTTGAATATAGAAGTCGACACGACCTGAGCTGGTTCATCATGATTGGTTCATGAGGAACCAAGACGTTTCAAGCGACTCTCAGTGGCTGTGCGCATTTGGTGAAACAGACATTACCCACAGTTGCATGACCACGATCCGATTCAATTGAGGTCTTGAATTGGTCATCATCAACATCATCATGACAACCAGAACGAAGTTGGTCATCTTGGAAAGAAGAAGGTTCGTAATGGGATTGGAGAAACCACTTCTGATACGCGCGTTCCATGATTAGCAGCTGCAAGCAACTTACGCACAGGCGAAGAAATAACGAAACTGACATGACGAAATGTTATTTACTTGCGAGAAACGCAACTCCTTTCACGTCAATCACCGAGCCGGAACATGGTAGTGCTCGGGGAGATTCAGCGCGTGAAACAACGATTCCATCGCTAACAACCACGGCCAAGTGTACCCAAAGCAAAAGAACTCGAACTTGTACACATACAGGCTGATATTCTTAGAAAAATAAAAATCAGAGTGCAGCAGTAGTATCGGGCTACAGTAGGTTTAGTTTTAGTTGCATGCAGGTACGAACACTCGCCATACCTTATTATTAATCAGCCAGACGAGAAAATAAGACTTACACTGAGAAAAAAGTGGGATTTAGACCAAAAGGAAGAGGCAGGATGTTACGGCGTGAATATACTTAAGGCTGTACAGTGCAGAGGTTATAATCGCTGGTATACAAAAACAGTTGGCACTTAGGGTGGCGCAAAGGAGCTAAAATCGATACCGCATCGCTGGAAGCGCTCCAGGATGCTCTGACGGAGAGTAAACTTGGTCCGTTTCACCCCCTCCTCACACGACCCCGACTCCGTTTCCATTCGGGCGTCGTCGGCGGCGCTGGAGGTGTCGTCGGCGTCAACCTCGGATATGCTTCGCTTGGTCACCGTGGACTGGACTGGAAGAGCACGCAGCACGTCCCCTCCAGCAGCTGATTGGAGTGGCGGGGCGGACTTCAAGTTCCGATCGAGACGGGGAGCTTTGGAGGCGTCTACCATGGGAACATCGGATGGTGGACAGTTCTCCTGTTCAGGACTGTCGACGACAGGGAGGGGAAGGCCATTGTGCCAAACCACTAAAAACAGACGGGCATTGAAATTGGGCGGTGGCACTTCAAAAAGAGTTGGAGGCATGATTAACTGCGCTTACTAGCACCTACAAGCACGCCTGGCATCCTCCTAAAATGTAATCACAAGTGGGACTTCAAGTCAAATGGACGCGTTTGAGTGTTAGAGAAACTTCATTTCCCCAAACCACCCGAAAATGGTGAACAAAGAAGCTACCTACTATAAGGGCAAGTAGCCCGAATTTGACAAACCTGCTCTCAACAAAGTAGTCACAAGTGTCTCCATGGCTTTGTTAACCAATAGCAACCCACCTCTGGAGGAGAGAGGGATCTGATGGTGTCGGACAGGGGGAGCTGAGGCCTGTCGATTTGGGGACGAGGGGCCGTCATCCAAACTAGGAGGCGGTGGAACGACTTGTGAAAGCAAATGGAATTTGGGGGAGTCGCGCACAACACGAGTAACGGTGCGCGGAGCGATGGGTTGGGGCGTGGGACTACCGGGCGGATCAATAACGTCGACGGAGGAGTGACAGGCGGTAGCCTGGGGAGCCGCCGTCTCCAGCATTGTCAAGTATTCCTCAGGCACGTGATTACAGCCGACGGCGGCGACGTAACTCATACGAGTGGGCTTGGGGGCAACAACCTTCGACTGTTGTGAGGCGGTTGGTCGGGAGTTGAGCGCAGTGCCCCTCGGAGCCGGTTTCTTCAAACCCAGGCGTTTAGAATCGGTTGAAGAACCTACGTCGAACAGTGAACACATGAATCCGTTGCGCCAAGCTCATTTCCACTTACGCCCAACTGAGTAACACAATACCTAATGCCATGCTGACGGCTGCATACATGCGAACACAAAATTAGGATGGAATGGAGGAAGGGCACGTGTACTCGTCAACTTACACGGCGGTGCGGTTCGGGGAAGTCCCGGCTTCCTTTTCGCTGATCCCTCAAACAACCCAGGAAGGAGGGAGGATATGGAAGGGCCGTCCTGTCGAATGCCTTTCCCGTCATCGAAAATTTCCGATCGAACTTTGCAACCTAGTAAACAAACAACGAGAGTGATTTTCGCAGTGAGGTGCACATCAACACGCACCACGTAGACGTTGAAAACTGTGCTCAGAGAATGAGCGCAGTTAATGTACCGGTAGGTGAGAAAACCCCACCCTACCGTTAGGTATCGACCTACTTACACGACAGTACAGGTCAGCGTGATTTGGTGCTAACTAGGATTTCCTCTGGGGTGTGTGTGTGTGTGTGTGATAAAGTCATGAAGGTTAACTCTCACTCAGAGAAACCAGAAACACCTACAAGACAACTGAGCCATGTTTACCGTCCCAGACGGCCCCTGCAGTTAACACCACACAACCAATCGGGTTAGCACACATTCTGAGGTGCAAGCTGGCACAGCCTAGCGGGTCAATGATTGCATTCGATGGCATCGAAGTGCAGCCAGTGAGTACAAATGACCCAGTCATGACTTATTGTGAAAGCCGCACCACATATGGGGGAAAATGGGTCTTCTAAAAGCCTAAGACGGGGACTAGAAGTCGTCGCCAATTTGCCCTTCCACAACTGAATCCGATGTGCCTACATAAGCGATAAAGGCATTGAGCTGGGTTTCCGAATGTGACTGTCCTACTTGAAAATAGGCAAGCAGAAAACCAGAGTCATGCTTGAAGCCACGAAAGGTATTGAGATCCTGAGATAGTGAAATTGCCCGGTTCACTCGGCCTGGTGCCTGTGGTTACATGAATACAAATTAAGGTCGTGATTGTCTGTCCCGCTTTAGCGCATCGATCGCAAGTGGCAAGCCACCCAATTTCGACAGAGAACTGCTCCATCAAGGAAGCAAATTGGTCGACCAAGAACGAAGAGTGCACGGGCGGCATCATCGCACAAGACAAAACTAATCGCAAGAGCAAAAATCAACGAGATTGGGGGATCAAACCACATAGAAAGGCCGTGAGCACTTGCGATCGGCGGACGCAAGTGTTTCTAGAGCCGGTAGTAAGGACTGACGTCAAGCGAGTAATGAAAGCGAGCACATACCCTCTGAGGCCTTGCCTAGCAGTGTGGGGAGATAGCGACGTAGGAGGACTGGGCCAGCGATCTGGTTCAGTTGAAGAATGGTTGCCAGACTACGAGCGTGTTCTGCTTGTGATAATTGTAGCACGTTGATTAGATTGCTGTTGTAGCACTGGAGTCCTGCCGAGTCAGAATTCGATAGGCGAGTAGACATTGCCGATCGGATTGTCTAAAGTTAGAACAAAGTGGCATTAACACACAACTGTCCACCCTCAGATAAAATAAAAGAAGGCGAAAGGTACCACGACTTAGTACCTATGGAACAACGCCCCACAGACAGCTAAGTTGATCGGGGGAGTGTGGAATCAGATTGCAAAGATAGCATTTAGTGCGCAGAGGGGGAAAAAAACAAGGCAAGAAGTCGACAATCAGCACTCACTTGGGGTATGTACTGCCAGTTGGGTGGAAAGGCGTGGATCACTCGCTCGACCTTCCCCAAGAGGTCATGAATGGCGGCAGCGGACTTTCGGAGGGCCTCGGCCAAAGTCGCGACCCGCGAAGCCGCGTCCTCGATCTCCTTTTCCAGCGTTCGAACCTGGGCCAGCACCTGTTGGGCCTACACCGATCGAAAGGGTTAGGCTTAGTGAGACTGCAATTGCATGAAGGCACTTGGCAAGCCAAAAGTACGCCTGCGTGGCAAAACGGCCCATTTTCAGGGGTAATTTAGTTACATGAATGATTAACTGGTTGCCAAATGAATTCGTTTACTCAAGTTCTAAGGTAAACGAAGCAGAGAACAGGAATTGCGTTGTGACTTAACTGATGGTTTGCCGAATTAACAGCAAGCTGGTGAGGTGATGTAGGACCCACCTACTTAGCCTACAAACAACCTTGAGGCCGACTAAAAGCAGCATCGATAAGTGAGGTGCGTGTGAGAGGTGAGAGAAACTACAGCATCCGCTGTCATCAAGGCTTTTAAGGATGACAAGAGGGCACCGTATTGGAGCAGCTGACGTCGAAATTAGCTTGCAACGGAGGCTTAAGACAAACGGCTTTGGTGCTGTGATTCACAACAGCACCCCAACGTGTGAAGCGGAACAAGTAATCGTACGGTAATTTGTTTACTGGTTCTGGTTTGATTGCATTGGTCTAGAGAGTAGCCACCTGTGAGCCATGCATTGTTAGACAAATCAATCACCTTCGAAAGAGGGAGCTTGACAGGGACGTTTACAAAAACGTGGGGCTTCAACCAATGCCAAGGTAGTGCACGACATCGTGAGAAAAGCACTACTCACTTCGTGGTGACAGGCAACAGAAAAAACGCGCGAACTGGCGCAGTGTGCTAAAGCAGTGATGGGAGTATTTGAGTAAAGGCGCAAAATTGGACTGCTTAGCGAGACTTTGAGGGGGGTTATGGCAATTTAGGAATGCTGCAACAAGTCTTCACAAGAGAACGCTTACAACGTGTTAATTCAATTCGACGACAGCAGTTGCGCAGTGATATAGGTCGGGTTACGAACACCACACACGTCACAAGGCGTGCGAAAGATTCTAGATTTGAAACCGTAAATGTCGGCACAGTTTGGATTCTCGAACATTTCCACACGAACCCGACGTAAAGGAACAAGTTACAGCAAAAAACTACACCCCTTGTCACGTACATTGATCTCGTGTAGTCCTTGAAACTGCGTTCGAAGCGAAAATGTCGTGCTGTTTACCTACTACATGATTAGTCAGAGGGGTACGTTTGGGTGCTTGTGTATATTCATCTTTCCAGTGGCGCGGTCAAGCAGTGCGTAACTTCCCTTTAGCATGTGATGGCAGTTCGAGCGAAATGACTCGCCATGATTCAATTTCCAGGTGTTGTGATAAACCAAAGCACACAAACTTGTTCGCCGCATTTCGGGGAGAAGGAAAAGGGAGGAAGGGGAGCGTTATTCGATTGACGGTGGCACACACATAAACACTGTAGCGTTCTCAACACGTTTATCGAGAGCGTATGAGTGTCTCCTAGCAGGCTGGGCAGTTGAAATCGACACAACAAGATGGCACGTTCATGCATCTCTGCCCAGGTGATTTGCAAACGTCAGACAAGGGAGCTGCCTCCAAGATCCAAATGTTCGAGAATCTGACACAGCATCAACTTTAGATGCAATAGTACTTTCCAATGTTGGGTTTAGCAGCATAAAAGCAAATTGAGAATATGAGAAGAGCGTTAAAACCACAATTTATTCAATTGGAAAACTGGATCGACTTAGGATTTGTGCGTTTCGTTGAGAAATCATGAGGAACATAAACTATGCGACGGACATTCTCCATGAAACTCATAATATTAGAATAGCGCGATGTGGCGGTGTCAAGACGCTCATTTTTACATGACTGACGCGAAACATCGTCATTTGGCTAATAGACAGATCTAGAAAGCGAACAAAACTAAAAATTCACCAGACAAACTAATGGATACTTAAAAAAAACACGGAAGGACGAAAATACCTTCAGAAACTAATCACAGCAATTTGAGCAATAGCAAAAAATGACTACTTTACAGAGCAGACCCCAAACAAGCACACGGCGGTTCGACATCCGAAATGGCCGGTATTGGTTTGTGCAAACAAACTACCCACAGATGCTTCCGTTATGAAGCGCAAGCAATAGACAAGCTTCTACTTGCAAGCATCATTAGGCAAAAACTACTCAAATAAACGCAAAGTGAAGGCCAGAGGTGGCACGAAAAAATGATATACCAAGCAGAACAGGTTACCAGATGCCCATCAAATCGTATGTCATTATGTGTTTAGCGAATTTACTAGCCACTTTAACAATGGTCAGCACTAATTTCAGAAGATTAATGACACCACTCACTTGAGAATCCCCACATCCGTCAAGTACGGCGTGTTGTAACTTCAGATTTGTAAGTTCAACAATCCGCAGGAATCGCGCAGCACCCGCGTTTGTAATCTCGCTCATTTGTTTCATTCGCGAAGCCATTATTTTATCAAAAGAAATCGCAATTTGGGAAAGGCTTTCCTTGGCACGTAGGGGGATCGACGGTTTACCCGACATCATCCGATGACTTGGTGATCGCGAATAGAGTGACTGTGTACCCTATTTTGAGGAAAAAAAGTACAATTCCTTGGGAAGAACTTGAACACGCAAGGGCGCAAAGTATGGGGAAATTACGCGTAAGAACTTACTGATTGTGAAGTGATCGCCTTGAGCTGTTGTCTCAATCGCCGATTCTCGGCTAAAAGTTTCTTCAACGTTTCTGCATCTGCGGAAGTCATGTTTGCTACGTTGATTGATATTGTGTTTCGAATCTTCTTGGCGCGAGTTGCATACTAGAAAACTTATAATGTTTTAAGCTGGTTACTTGAAGAGTATTAATGGACTCCGCCATGTCTACCTCCGCTGGGGATATGCAAGCGATCAAGACAGTACGCGAATTTCCGCCAAGAGAATCACAAAGAAGTCGTGTCAGCTTTGAATCGCGATAGGGAACATGTTTTTGATTCTCAGATAGAGCATTGATAACGTTTCCAAGAGCGAGCAACCCAAAATTGATTTTGATGCCTTCCTTTGCGCGTTCGCCCTCGGCGCCAGTGCGACCTAGCCTCTCACTACCAGCAAGATCGACAAAATGAAATTTCGAAGAAATCAATTCCACACGAGAATTATCCTACAAACAGTCAAAATAATGTCGACATTACTTCATTTCTCTTCCTTTGATTGATATGAAGTGTTAAAATTGCATGTGACCGAGAACTTTGGGCGTTCATTTTAGTGGAGCCTGTTGACCTCGACTGGCCACCTGCCCTAATTAGTTGCAGAGCCTTTCAAAGAGATAGTTATTAAGTTGAAAACCTTACATCGCTGACACACTGTATTTTAACCGAAGTTGCACCGGAGAGGTAAATGCCACCGCCTAGTTTCTCCTGAATTTTAACGGCATTCTTGAAGAAAGAATAAGAGTCAGACTTTGCATACCTTTTTTGGAGTGAGCAGGTCTCTGAGTTCTTCATTGTATAACTAGCAAAATAAAGTCATCAAAACACTCATACCTCAATAAATTGTGCTTCGACAGAAAATTCGCTGTCTGTTCTGTTACCAATCTGATCGAATAGACTAACGATAGCGCGAGGAATAATGCCAACGCTGTCAGACATCGCAAAATCGCTGATATCGTATGTAGTACCCATTGTGTAAGTTTTGCCTGAACCAGTCTAAAATATTATCAGACAAGCAGGAATTCGTCATACTTGACCGTAAGCCAACACTGTTGCGTTAATTCCCATGAGACAACTACAACAAATTACAATCTGCACAGGTCTTACTCAGTGATTAATGGTGCAACTAAAATATCAAAAATGGTAGATTGGTCAGTCTCCGGAGAAAAAATGTGGTCAAATGTAAATGAACGATCAACTCCAATTATGAGGGAAGACGTCGGTGGATCATGAACCACGACGTCCCCTACACCATATTCACCAAGCGGTCGAACACTACAAAGGAATTAGTCCCACTACGGTGACGTACCGAACAGCAACAGATATCTTATCGGAGGTCGCCATTCATCAAAAAAATTGTTTCAAATCAGAGCAACGTACCCTCGGTTGTAGTTCGGCAATTTAAAACAAAACGCATTATAAAATACTTAGTATATATACGTTGCAGTAACATAAAAAATTCAATTAGAAAATTACGATAATATTTCTTGTTCAATTTTTTTGAGAGCTTGAAAGGCCAATTTTCTAGCTGGTTTTACATGAGCTTAACTGTAACAAAATGCCAATGATATTTATGATTAGGTAGGTGAAACCGCTAACATTATATTAAAAAAATTTAAATTGCTCAAATGATTGCCTAAGAGTCTATGAGAACATGCTGCAAACAAGATCAGCAGCTACATTGAAATGTAAAAATCAATTTTAGCGCATTTTCGATTTGTTCTGTTAACAACACACTGTACACAAGACCATATATTTTTAGGCTAAATTTTTATCCAATTAGAGTATTATAGTTAATCAGTTATGGTATTTTCTAACGAGATACCTAAGTATTCTTTACAAGTATCTGAGATAAACAAACAAATACATCTTAAGAATTATTAAAGAAATTATTCTGTCGAGATTCTCAATACAAACTTAATTTCTTTCTAAGTTACAAAACCACAAAAAGGATAGTTTTTAACCACAGCATGAAAATAAATATCACCCTGCTCCGAAAATAACGTTGTCATGAATGAAGTTGAGATCACATTCATAATTTTTTTGCAGTTTTCTTATTCACCTGACAAAAGGATCTCTAAAAGATAGGCTAAAATGTGTTAACAGTAACTATTTTCTGGCTAACAAATATTGGTCTCATATTCTCATTGCTGTTACAACATAATCTAAATTAAGGACTTGGTCGGAAGAAATATAAATTCATGCTTCTCATGAAGGTGGATTTTTGCCAAATGTTATATTATAAAGTCCTTTTTTTCATTTTCCCTAACTTTACTTCTTGTACTCATTAACCATTTTTATATTTATCAAAATGGCAGTCATTTACCACCCTAATTATTTTATTTATCTTCACATGAATAAAATGAAATAAGGTTTAATTTTTTAAATCGATTTATTTGTTAAAATCAAAAAGAAATATGTTAAACCTACAATGGGAGTTTTGTCTGCATTAATTAAGATCTTTGATTTGAAAAATATTTGACCGTTACGTTTGCTGTTACTTGAGAATACTAGACGAAGGTATGTGTGTTAGAATATTTTTCCTCTAACAGATAATAGAAATACACGGTTTATAAGCTATCAAGATGAGCAGAACTTGATTTTTTTGAAGGCTGAAGCATTTTTAGTATCGATACTGAACCGCTTCTTCTGCAATTTGGCAGCTTCGTGTCAAGGTCAGTCGTGCTATGCGCCGTTGATGGGGGTTGTGGATATCTGCCTCCCGACGCCCCCTTTCCCTTTGTGGAGATGCCTTTTACGACTCATAAGTATCAGGTTAATGCTCGATTATTATGCTTTGAACCGGATCTAACAAAAGTAAAATCTATTTACCATGTTGAGGTTTGTGTGGTCCATCAATTTATTCAAATTTAGGTGAAAGAATTACGCGGATTCTCAAATAACGGTCGTTCCCGCGTTCCTATGTACTTTGTTCATTTCCTTGGTTGGAAGAGCAGGTATGATAGAGAGGTCTCCGAGGATTTTCTTTTGGAGGATACTCAATTTACCAGGAAGCTGAAAGAGAAAATTGATGAAATTATTACCAATGTAATCACTTCCCTTACTGCGTATTAACTTTCCAATCTGTAGGTTAATGATAAAGCGGAAAGAATAAAAAGGATTGACACCGTTCTCCAGCACGCAGCAATGGCTCCTGAGGATGTTGACTGGGAAACGCTGCCTGGTACGTGGCAAAATGTCGGCCAGACTGCCAGGACCAGTACTGTAAGTGGTTTTCTTTTTTAATAACTTGTAGGCAATCGCTCCTGCCGTGGAACAATTGCCACCTTCATCGGATTCTTATGAAGAGCCAGAGGAACGTGATGCAGATGCTATTGCCCATTCCAAGTTCGAGAACCTCGAAGTAGGCCTGCTGTTAAGTGCCTAATGTTGTATTGTAGGCTCATCTACAATTTGCACCAAATGTAAAGCTTCCAGACTCTCTATTTTCGATACTAGAAGGCCATTGTCGTTCTCATGAAATCGCTCAGGGCTCACAGACTAGAAGGGCCACACCTACTCCTTCGTGGTGTTCTGTACTGTATCTTCTTCAAATATACGTGAACGGATTCCCCTATTGCATGAATGCGAATAAACCCACTGGGCTTAATAGAACTGATATAAACTTATTCCCTCCTGGTAATTCCAAATTCCTCTGTTAAATTCACTGCCACCTTTAAAGCCGTACATCGAGAGCGATTTTCTAAAAAGGCCGCAGGCGCTTACGCGAAAACAGATCGGAGTCGACGCATCTGTGCTGAGTTCTGCTCTAGCGTTAGGATTCTTTTTGATGCCCTCCTTGTGGAGTATCTTTTGTATCCCAATGAGGACAGGAAGCGGGCGTAAGTTTTCCCACTTTACCCAATTAAACAGTTTAACTATTTTTACGTACAGCATTGTCTAAGATGTGCCAACAACCCTCTGTTTAACAACGTAAAAGACTGCTCTTAGTCAGTCGTATCCTAGTTTTAAATGCATTTTCTCTTTGATGTTTTACGGTTAAAAATACTTGCATATTTCCGTCTCAGCACATTCCCCCATGGCCTTCTTCAATTCCGACTGCGTTAAACATTCAATTTTACGCACTGTCAATGCACTGAGAACCTACCTTATATGGAAACGTTTCGTTAAATTCGGTCGCAATGTCTTGAGGGCTCATAGGAAGGCGGTTGTCTTCCCATCGTTAGTTCCGTTTTGATTCAGTCAATTGTACAGTATGTTGATCTAATCAGCTGGTTTTGTGGTTAATCTATTTGTACACATAATTAATCTTGTACACATCAAGCATTTTAGTCAGTTTTTAGCGTAAATTTGTGACTTGTAGATCCAATTTTAGGCCTGCAGTTAAATTGCAAAAGTGGTCAACGGACCCCTAAACGACGCTCCAACCAGAGTTAGTGTTATAATTGTTATTAGCAAATAAGCTGCAAGCGCTAACTGATTACGAAGGATTAGGGTTTTGTGTTAAGTAAAAATGATGGACGAATTTTACGACCCATCGCCACAGTTTAATCTCATTGTACAGGCCATGTGTGTGGCCATCTTGGTTCCAACTTTGTTCCGCTTTGTAGACCCTTTGGTAAGGAGGGCCAGGTCATACCACAGGGCGACCCGTTCACCATCATACCTCTTGAGGAGATCCAGCGAAATCCCTCATACCCCTGCCTCATCTACGAGTCAGTTTACATCCTCAGGCTCATTGGTGAGTTGGGGTTGTGCTACACTCTTCCTCCTCTCCTCCTCCCCCCCCTCCTCCTCCTCCTCCTTCTTCTTCTTCTTCTTTCTCCCCTTCTTCCTCACCTTCCTCTTCTTATTTGCGTTGCACGGTAGTATTATAGTCAAACACCAAGGATTACTGATCTGTATGCGTGCAACGTTAAACTGAAGTTCAGTCAAATTAGATTGTGAATCACTCATGGTTAGTTGGAGCAGTTCGTCGTCAGTGATCCACTAGTTCTATTTGTCTAACTGATGGACAATCTTCCACAAAAAAAGAGCGGAAGACGAAAACTAGACCGGGGTTTGCGAACACGCAACAAGGGACAAATTATACGAAGGTGGATTATTCCAAAGGAGGGTAATCTTCGCCTGCGCTACTCACGGAATCCTGAGGTCCGTTCTCAGCAGCGTTGGGTGTTGGAAAATGAGACTTTAAGCTCTATCGAGTAAATTAAGCTGGAAACCACTTCATTCCGAAGTCGATATCGCGGTTCCGTCTCACACAGTGGTCGCGTCGTCGCCTAGGTGGTCAACTCAAGGTCAGGTCACATTTCCAAACAAAACCCGCTGTGGATGAAAGATAAATTCTCCCGACGGCTCAAAATGCACACATCAATTTCAACGCTCGAATGTGCTTACGTGTTTGAGTTAATTGTGCTCGGGTGTCACAGATAAACTTGGCGGTAGTATGGCCACCCATAATGTTTCATCACCAGCAAATCTACTTATAGAACTGCACCATGAAAGTGTTTAGAACCAAGAACCGTCATTACAAAACACTATGCGGTAGGGCTTTTAGTTAGTTGATGCTGCAATCGAGGGAAGTTTGGTACGCGTTCCCCTACATGCTGACACATTTGGGAGAAGACGCTTTTCAAGAATGTGGCATCAACGAAGCGTAAAATTGCTTCTTTTGTACACTTGGGTGCATTTCTATCTCTGGAGTGATGAGTCGAGAGGGAGATGTGGGGCGTTATTTATTCAATTTCAACCACTACCGCACTCTCTTCGCTTGCAACACCCAAGCCTGCGTACAGTCCGGCGCCTTTTCCATGTGGACCTCAAACCACTAGTGTTTCTGTGAAGTGGGCCATCACATGGAATTGCGTAGCGAGTCTCCACTCTCCTGATAACTCGTACACAGGCGTTCTGGTAGTCAATTAGCTGTCCGTGTGTGCCATGCTGCATTACTGTTGTACACTGCACAGTCGTCTTCGGCACAATCACATTTGTGGAAGGCGAGTTACCAGCTCTCTGCTACTGGCATTCTACTACCCACCAGGGAATGCGGTTCCCTGTGTTTTTTGACTTGTTGGAGAGGCTAGTTTGTTAGCGTAATTACTGTTTCGTGGTAAATTCGAACATGGGGCCACACCATCAGTCAATGCTTGGTTTTCACTCAACCAATCACTGCACCGCTTTTTTGTAGTACGCCTGCCAGCCCTCGTCAACCAGATGGCCTTGACCAGATGCCGGCGTTCCATAGTCCTCCGGCACCTCTACCTCTTCGTTGCGTACCTGGACCAGACAAAGGACTTCTGGTTCACCTCCACCCCCCCGTCAACGCCGGGTCCCACCATCGAGCCCCTGACCCCTGACGATGCGTCCCGCATCAAGCGCATCCGCAATGCCTCCGCCGCCTCCTCCGGCTCCTCCACTCATCAAACGTCTATTAGTAAAATCAGAAGTGGTGCAAAGATTGTCCCTCGCCGTGTCACCGTGCCTAGGCTAAGAGGCGCCTCCCGCAAAAGACCGACGCCTGAGTTGAGGACGCACTCCACGTCAAGTACGATTCACCTCCTATTCGTGATGCTTGAGTTTCGCTTTATCCGGTGGCGTCATTGTATTGTCTTGCCCCAGCACCGCGTGTGGTATTTTTAAAAAACATGCTTGTGAAATGCCAATCGAGTTGTGGTGTGGTTGCAGTAAACATGCGGACTAGGGCCTCGTTTTGACGTTTCCGCGTCCATGCAGAACTAGACGCCACCCACAATGCTGCAAGTCTGACGATGCTGGATCCCATACGGCTTTATTAACAGCTTCTGTGGTTTAATTTTTCTCGAATTCTGACGTCAGTTGGCGGAACAGACCTCCGAACGAATGTGGCTCACTTATGTGGGGAACCCTGGTGATTCCCCTTTGTAAGTAAAGTTTCATACTTTCAGCTGATTCTGGTAGTTTTGAAGGAGCGATGCTCCACACAAGTTGGCCGTGATTATAAATCCTGTCTGTTAGCTGTGTGCAACGCACCATTACAGTACTTTAGCCTGCGGTCGGATGCCTCAAACTGGCGTACTTTAACGAGCCATGATTTTCACCGTGACCTCGCTTATTTTTGCACTTTACTGATTGCATCGCAGTTTCAGGGCCTGCTTGTACCCGCGCCTGCTAAACTTTCACCTGAAAACAAAGATTTTACTGGTTTTTGAATGGCGTGGAGTGAATTCGTGTCATTTGACTTTGGTAATCCGTCGATTTTTACCTACGACCACCCCCGGCGTAATTTGGTGTCACATTGGCTAATCTTCTAGACAATAGGGTTTTGCCGTTCGTCAGGGCAAATTGCTACCCTTCTTCCTACCAGCCCATTACTATTGGTGTGCAAAGAACAAGTTTCGTCCATGGAAACAGCTGGATCTCCTCCACTAGTTCATATTTCACATGTGTTGTTGTCTTGAGCACTTAGAGGAATGCTAGTACCCTCATGTAGTTCTTTCAGTGGTGTTCGAACACCGTGTTCGCGACTTATTCCCCACCCAACCGACCACCTGCCTCATTTAATTGCCTTTTTTATGGCCTTACGGGTGCGTTGGGAGATTGGGCGTCCAAAAACGGCAAATATGGTGCAACTTTAGCAAGTCACGCGTACTTCATTTGCGCTCAGTTAGTTGTGCCGGCTCTGTTTGTGCGAATGCCAGTTTTTGTCAACTTGCTGACGTCCACCGCTCCAACCCTCTTATTAGATATTCCAAGTGAGCCGTTCATGGGTGCGTCCGCAGTCAGTCGGTGCTCAACGAAGAATGCACACCACTTAATCAAGTTGGATGGCGTGGTTTGTTTGATTCAGTCATGGGGTGTTTGAGTACCTAATGCGAAGCTCCATCCTCTTTCCCTGGAGCTGAGTGTGTTCGTGAAAGTACAACCTTTTTTTGACCCTTCATGTCCAGTCAAGAACTGTAGTAGTAGTGGTAGTACAGTATTTCATGCTTCATGAAATGTGCCAATGCAGTGTTCCCTCTTGATACCCCACGGCAACGTCATTCTTCACTGTAACTTGCCCTTCTTCGAGGCCAAGAAACGCGTGGATGTTTACGTCAAGCTGGAAGTCAGCCACATGCTTCCATTCCGACCCCTTCGTAAACTTCCGCGCGAGGTATGCCTCTTACGGCACCTGTGGAAGTTGTCAATGCGTTTGACGAATCCCTCAATCCAGATATCAAGTCTTTGTGCATTATTTGTCCGTGAAGACTCCCTCTTGCCAAATCACGCCAATTGAGGTTCGCGGACACCACAGGTCTACTTAAGGGCAACTGGGGAACCTCAACGCCAAGCCATCTAGCCGATCACAGCCACGGCAATCGTTGGTGTCAGGTTAATTGGGGGTTGGTGCCCAACTTTCATTACAATTCAATTCAGCGCAGGATCCACCGCTGCTTGGTGATTCAGTCTGCCAACTATTTTCTTCCTCCGGTAATCCATATCCGAAAGCCTAGATTCCCGAAATCCGTTCAGGCATATTCCGTAGGAACAGCCTCTTGAGCGAAGACGTCTTGAAGAGCCTTTGACTTCGTCAGAAACTCTTCTCCGATATTCCTCGTTGAATTCACCTCCAGTATCTGCTTATGCAAAACCTGTGGCAGTTCTACCGTGTGTGTGAA